GACGAGAGCAACACCCCGCTGAAGCCGCGGAGCTCGAATATCCAACGTCCAACGTAAAACTAACTTTACCGCGGTGAGAGAACGGTCGAAACTATCGTGACCTACAATAAACCTACTTCAATAATATGCACAAGTGAAAACATAACATACTTTATAAGTACAATAAATCATATTTCTTTGTCAAACATCGCAAAGAAACGTTACCTCATCAATGCTGTTAGCCAATCAGTGTTCGCCGCCCACAAACGCCTATTCACCAGAAACGCCCACTTTTGGTCAGCAGAGAAGCCCTGCTCTGTGCACGTGAACTTTATCTAGTTCGTTACATACAGTTGGTGCAGGACGGAGAGAAGGACCGGACTCTGAGAGAAGGACCCGGACTCTGAGAGAAGGACCCGGACTCTGAGAGAAGGACCGGACTCTGAGAGAAGGACCCGGACTCGGAGAGAAGGACCGGACTCTGAGAGAAGGACCGGACCTCCAGCAGGTGAAGTGAAATAGTTTCAGTCTGAGTGTGGAGAAAGTAATAAAGTGCAGACGTGCTGGACACAATGTGTAGATTTATGATTCGCTGGTTGGCTCATGGAAAGATTCGTTTTTTAACCTTCAGGTCTAAATATGTTACAGTCCAATCAATCAATCAATCAATCAATCAATCAATCAATCAATTAATCAATCAATCAACATTTTCTATACTGAATTATAATGCTGAAAGTGAAGACAGTTCTTATTCATAAACAGAATTATCACATTGTCTAGGAAAGTTAATGTATAGAACGAAATATTTTAATTGATATGAATAAATATGGCATGTTTCATAAATACATTTTATTAATATGAACATAAAGTGTTGTTTTAACTTCCAGGATGTAATGGAGCTCACCTTCATCATTAAGGCAGGAAGTCATTATTTCCAGTACATTGTTCTATAATCTGGCGTATTGAGAGGTCTTTCTTTTAGCACGTGCACAAATGAGCTGAGGGTACGGATCATCACGCACAGCACAGAACCCAGAGGGATTTGCATATGAGGACACGATACACTGTGGTGGACCTGAGACCGTCCTGACGTGTCCCACAGGAACTGCTGAAGGCAGGCACCACCCTGCACCACCCTGCACCACCCTGCACCACCCTGCACCACCGCCTGCCACCCGGGAAGGAAGCGCTGAACGTGTTTCAGCAGATCAGCTTCTAAAATAAGTCCAACCCAGCCCAAAGTGTTTTAAACACACAACTTATTTAGCCATGTCTTTATTCATTCATCAAAAACACAGCCGAAATGTTATTCATGAAAAACACAGCCGAAATGTTATTCATGAAAAACACAGCCGAAATGTTATTCACGAAAAACGCAGCCGGAATGTTATTCACGAAAAACGCAGCCGGAATGTTATTCACGAAAACACAGCCGGAATGTTATTCACGAGAAACACAGCCGGAATGTTATTCACGAGAAACACAGCCGGAATGTTATTCATGAAAAACACAGCCGGAATGTTATTCACGAAAAACACAGCCGGAGTGTTATTCATGAAAAACACAGCCGGAGTGTTATTCACGAGAAACACAGCCGGAATGTTATTCACGAAAAACACAGCCGGAATGTTATTCA